CGGCCGGAGCCCTGCAGAGGCGCCGCCGGAGACGGAGCGTGCGGGGGGCTGCAGCAGACGACGCCGCCGCCGCCGCGGTCTCGCCGCCGCTCGCTCATCGCTCGCCTGGCTGCCTGCTTAGCAGTCTGTCCGCGGCGCCGCTCGCCGGCCGGCTGGATCGCCCGCACGGACACGCCCCCGGCGTCTGCGGCACGGGCAGGCGAGGAGGGGGCGGAGGAGAGCCCCCACCCCCGGGGGGGCAGAGGGTCTGCGCGAGGAGCCCCCACCCCCGGGAAGCGCCCACAGGAGGAGTCCCAGTCCACCGATGGCCCTGTGGTACGGTTCCCAGCACACACACACCCAGAACTCGCCCACTGCAGTGGGAGAAAGGGCAGAGCTGGGGGGCAGCCGCTCTTGGCACCAGAAGGAAGCCTGGAGGAGACCAGGGTCTGCCCCTCACTGGGTTCTGCGCCCTGAAACTGGGCTTGCCCCACCCATCTGAGAACAAGAACGGGCAAGAACCTGGCAGCACCAGGCCTCCCTGAACCCAGGAGAGAGTGGGGCGGAGGGGGGGGGAGCAGGCTACACCAGGACCCTTGCAGGTAGGGGGCACTGAAGGAGGCCCAGCGGAGATCCCCCTCAGAGAAAGGAAGGCCAGGCGGAGGTCTCCATCCCAGCCAAGATAGGCCAGCTGGAGGGCTGGGGGGTCGGTGGCATGGGGGAGGGGAATGTATGGGACCCTGTTAGCCCCAGACAGAAACTCTGCAGGCAGAGCAATGACGGATGTGCTGGGGTGGCCTTACTCTGTACACCAGGGGGGAACGGCTGCATGATGGGAGTGAGCAGCTCCCAGCCACTGGCCCAAGTCTCCCCCCCAACTTGGCAGACAGGAGAACACTCGTGGTGTTCTGTTATTGTCTCTTTTGAGCCTGTCTTGCCACAGGTTGTTTCTGGGTATCATTCTGGCTTTTGTAATCTGTTTCTTGACTTCATCAGATGGCTGGGGACATTGGGGGTAGGTTATTTATTCCCAACAGACAGCAACAATTAAAGGCACTTGGGTGGAACTCTTTCTCAAGGACTGGCCACACCTGCACTTTTTCTTAGGGAAAACAAAGGTATTTACACTTTTGAATTCCATAAATCATACTACTTTATACACAAGCATAATCATCTATCTACAGGCTTAGATCATTGTTCCTCTGCACGCATGAGATGCATAGCCTCATATTTGCAAGGGTTTATTGTTTAAGTGTGAATGTTTTTCACAGCGATTAATAGGGTATGCGCTGGGTAATGAATTCTGATGGAGTTCAGTGCTCCGATTCGAAAGCAGTTCGAAAGCAAGACACTGCGCCAAGTAGAGCCAACTCGCGACTTTCCTTGCTTGGGGGCTCCTTCCCAGAGGCTCAGGGAGTGGAACACAGCCTGCGGAAGGAAGCCGCCAGCTCAAAAGGACAGGCACCCTGGCCTCTTCGCTCTCCTTCACCCCCCCCCTTTGCCATCTGGGGCAGGGCAGAGAAAGGCTGACCCAGTTTGGCCTTGCTGGATCCAGAGCACCTGGGCCCAGTAGGGGAAGCACAGCCAGCTAACCCTTTTGACAAACCAAGCTGGTTTTTTGGGGGGGGGGGGGGGGCGCTGAAGTTTAAAGGATTTTCATTCATAATTCTCCGAGCTGGCTGCCAGAGAGATGCTATTGTGGCTCTATTTTGAAGCCTGTGCTGTTAGGTTCTCTTGTCTGCTTCTCCAAGTAGCAGGACTTTGTGCAGCTGCATCAGCTGTAGGGCTCCTCTCCAGCCCTACAGACGAACACAGGATCAGACCCCATCAAAAGTGGGGAGCGCCACATCCCCATACTTGACTCTCGTGTTGAGGTTCAACTTCAGCTTATTTACCCCTTGGGCCACTAACGACAGCGAGTGCCAGGGCACTGCTTCACCCGCTCCTGCAGAGCACAGTGGTGGGCACAGCCACAAAAGGGCCGCCGCAGGAGGCACAGCCAGCTACAAAATGGCTGCCACGGCTTACCTTCGGTCCACACAGGGCAGAAGATCCTTTTATGCTGTGGTGGCAGCTGCTGCCAGAGCAACAGTTTAAAAAATCCGCCCAGCCAAACCTCCCAGAGCCAATCAGAAACCTTGCGGGGGGGGGGGGGGGGGGGGGGCGGCAAGGCAACACAGGCACCACCATCCTGGGGTCCCCTGCTCTATAGCATCCACCAGGCAATTTGGATGAGGAAACGTAGAGCAACATGGGGGTGACGCCCTCTTGGGAAACCACCAATCATTTCTCCTAAGGGATTCACAAGACGGTGTAACTGCACGGGGGACAAGACCGAATCTTGTGGAACTCCACAAGGCAGGTCCCACTCACCTACAGCAACCTTCCCGAGTCCTGGCCTCTAAGGATTTGAAGCCGCTCAGGGGGGAAAGCCTTTAATCCCTTCCCTTCTGCCTCCAAATGTCAACAGAACGGTGCAGTCCATCAAAGGCTGCCACTAAGTCTAGCAAAAGCGACGCAACCACTGGGACCACAACAAGCCAGGCCTGAAAGGGGTCCAGGGCAGACAAGTTATCCAGGAAGGCCTGGATTTGCTCTAAAATTGCTTTTTCTTCCATTTTTAGAACCAGGCAATCGTTGGCCACGTTACATTTCACTAGTGATGATTTTTAAAGTAAAAGGTGGGTAACGGCCCGTTTTAAAGCCCAGTGACGGACCATCTGGACACTGACACAGAAAGTAACACTCTTCAGTTGAGCCGTTTATTAGTTTGCGGCAGTTAATACAAACAATTGTACTAACAAAAGAGGGAGCATCGCCACCCCCCCCACAACAGCCAATGTTTCCAGTTCTGAGAAGAGGAAACTGGCCCCAGACCGGCCTGCTTGCCACATCCGTGTCTTATCCTGGGGGAGGACAAGAGACCCACACTCGCTGCTCCGCTCCTTTTTGGAAGAAGTTCTCTGGTTCCCACTTGCTTGGGACTGAAGCACGTATCACTGGGCAGTTCCATTCAAGGCCTAGAGAAGCTCTTTCAAGCAAAACAAGTCCCACGGCTGGCACATCCTGAAACATAAAAGCCACAGGGTCAGTTCATGCTAAGCCCTCGCTGCCCAGTCAGTTTCAGAACCATGCAAGAGGGCCGGGCAGGCAAGAACGTGCCTCTGCCCCAGTCCCTGAATGGCCCTCTGCCACTCTCGCCACACCTAGAGATGTGAAGGCCCAGAAAAAAAACAGAAAATTTGGAAAAAAACCCGGGGGTTTTCCGTTTTTTCCCTGAAGCCTTTTTGTTTTTTTCAGAAAAATTGGAAAAATTGAAAAAAGAAAAGAAAAAAAAATGATTATGGAATGTTTTCTTTTAACATGATGAATAAAATATTTTAAGACCAGATGTTCAAATATTTTCCAAATCATTTCTTATATATATATATATATATATATATGGTATCAGATTGATGTAATTTCTGTGCACTGAGAACAAGGAAGTCCTAGGTTACAAACTGAACTCTCCAATGCAAGAACAAGATGCATTTCTTCCTTTAGGAGGTGTGATTGTCAGAAGAAAATAAAAGTGTCAGTTTTGCTTTTGCACATGGGTGGGTATTCTGTTCGTAATAATTGTTTGGAAACACAATATTTTTAATAAGCTAGTTCAGAATGACTTTCAATCTGGAAAAGAAAAAAGAAGTGCTAATGTAGATTTTTTTCAATTTTCCCGAACATTTCCGTTTTTTCCGAGCTTCAAAATTTCCGGAAATTTTACATCTCTACACGGGCACTTCTCCATTCACTGGTACCACACAAATCAAGCTGCAAGAGCATCCTCTCGCAACCTGCTTTGGACCAAGTCTCAAGCAGAAGAACCCATCAAGCTTGCCAGTCACACCAAGGGCGAGCAAAATTATAGTACTTCAGTGGGCTGCTACCCCATTTCCCCCTCCACCTTCACAGCTACCAAGTTATGTTTAATTTATTTACTTATTTACTTATTTTATACCCCACCCAGGTGGGCTCAGGGCAGCTTACAACAGATTATAAAAGCCTATCATTGGTATAATTTACTTAAAATAATAATTTGAAACACACACACACAAAACGCTGGACACAAACACAGGTAAGATGACATGGTTTCCAAGCTTGTGTAGGCCAAGGCCTGAGTATCCAATAGTATCAGGCAATGCAAGACAAGTGAACACCAACCTGCTCCAAAAGGGGCCAAGGCTTTCCCCTGATGCTTCGAAGTCCACCATCTTCTGCTGTTTACTCCATTGCCCAGCCGAAGACTGAAGAGTTGATCTCCTACTCCTACATAGCGACACCACTAGAAGTAGTCTGCTGACAAGAAAGAGAACCATTAAGTCTGAAGGGAGGTAAAATAACTGTTAGCATAAATGGAAAGTGCCTGAAACCCATACAATTGGATCTTTTTGCTGACTCTATTCAATTGGCAAGAAACATGCCAAGTTTTGGATCACATGGAACGTGGCATGCTCATTTACTCAATGAGAGATTGCTGGAGGAGGTAGCAGGGATGGCCACAGGCTTTAAAAGGGGATTTGAGAGACTCATGAAGAAAGGTCTATCAGTGGCTACTAGCTGTGGTGAACAAAGGGAGCCAGCATCTAGAGAAGGCAATATGAGGGGACATCCCCAGCCTCTATGTCCGTTTCACTGGCCACTGTGTGAAACAAGTCGCTGAACTAGATGGACCCTCACTGGTCTGGCCCAGCAGGGCTCTTGTGCTCGTCTGCACCTCAACCGCTTTCCCAATCAACACCATTCTGGGGAAAAGAGGCACCTTCCCTTTACTCCAGCTTCAGCTCTTGAAAACAAAGAATGTTTCCCTTTATTTCACAAGTGGTCCAAGGACTTTACATTCTTGTGCACCAACAAAGGCAGTATGGGGGTCCATAGTTGCCTTTTCAAATCAGAAGAGCTGGCTCATACTTGCTCAAGTCCTGCTAGAGTATTGTAAGCCAATTAACTTTTCAAATGTAGGAGTTGAAAAATAAATGTTACTGAATTCCTGCCCAGGAATCTTTGGCTTTGTCCTCAGTTAACGGCAATCTCCCAACCCTTGCAAAGCCACACTGCTTCCATTTGCAGGCAGCCTGTGAGCCACAGAAGGCACAGAGACATCCCTAAGTAGCTTTAGCTCTTACCATAGCCATTTTGGTGTAGCGGTTAAGAATGGCAGACTCCAATTTAGAGAACCAGGTTTGATTCCCCACTCCTCCACATGCTGGTTGACCTTGGGTCAGTTAGTTTTCTCAGTGTTTTCTCTCAAAAGCAGTTCTTAGCGCTCTCTCAGCCCCACCTACCTCACAGGGAGTCTGTTGTGGGGAGGGAAAGGAGACTGGAAGCCAGTCTCACAGACTCCAAGTGAAGGGTGGGATGTAAATTCAACTCTTCTTCATTTCATTGTGTTGGAAAATGGCTTAGGGGTAACTGAGGAGTTAGCAGCACGCTCCAATAAAGCATTTCCTTTTGCATTAGATGCCTACAAAGTGAAAACACTCCCCAGAGGAGAGCTGCTCATCTGGCTCTGTTAATGTCCATGAACTTTTTAAAAAATGTTAATTTTAGAAGGCAACCTAGTCAGCAGAGCTTCTACCTTAACCTTTGCAAGTGTTTCATTAACTGGCAAGACTTACCGAGAGCTTGTAAACTGTGGCTTCCACGCATTCTCATCATGGTGGCCTTAACCATATTTGTCAGCTTTTTGTGACTGTTCCCCTTCCCTGAGGCAAGCCGCCTAGAGTTCTGCAAGGGAGAAAGGGGACCATTAAACTTCTGAACGGACAAAGGACTGTGGTCGCACAAACGAACCAATCCACTTTCCAACTGGAACTTTCCTGTATAAACGGGCAAGATCCAGCTGGAAAGGGCCTCCAAAGTGCGAAGTGGATTATGCCGTGCGTGTGTGTGAGACCACAGCCGGGGCGGATGAAGGCTCCCTGGTGCCCGAAGCACTGACCCAATCTTGGTGCCCCCCCCCTCCTTCCCACACTGACCCCCAGTCCATTTTAGTGGTTGACCTGCCTGAGCAGATAGGTTGCAGCCATGCAAAAATTCATCCACAGGGTAACGCAAGAATACTGTACAAACGAAGCTTTCCCACCCTTTCCCCCAACTTCGTGCTGTCCGAAGCACGTGCTGCCTGGTCGGCTTCATGGTGACTCCGCCCCTGAGGTCCGCAGCCAGACACAGGCCTCCCTGCCCCCCCCCGCCCACGTGGCGGCTCCCGCGGCGGCCATTTTGTGCCTCTGCTTCACACACACACACACACCCCCCTCTAGTGGGTGCTCTTCGGCCGGCCGGCCTGGCCGCGCGCCCCCCCCCCTTCAGAACGACCCTTCTCACCAGCGGAGGCGTCTGACGGTAATTCCAGCTGTGTTTCGGATCGGGTTCATCATTGGGGGGGGGCCCCGCACCTCTTGGGGGGGAGGAGGAGGGGCCACGCCTTGCGGCCGAGGGCGTCGCTCACCTGGCAGCCTGGACCTGGGCCGCTTCCTCTCGCCGCCGCCGCCGCCGCCTCTCTCTCTCGGTCCCTCGCGGGCCTCTCCGGGCGCCTCCCCACCGGCCGCGCCTGCGCACAAAGACAGAGCCCCGTCAGCCAGCCAATCAGATCCCGGAGGGGAGGGGTGGAGGGGAGATGGCGGGGGGGGGGGCCCGGGGGGCC